AATTAATTTTGAATAGTATAAGTAATCAACTTTAAATTGTATAGCATAAGTTTATTTATTTAAAAAAAGTATTTTGGTGGATTTGTTATTCTAGAGTTTAGATATGTATTAAATATAAAGTTTGTTAATTGATATTGTTTTGATTATAGTATTTGTCCAGCTATCTAGCTTTGTTGTTTGTTTTTCATATTTTTTTAGACGTTTGATTTCTGCATTAAGTGCAGGTGATAAATTTATATATTCAATAAAAAGACGTAAAAATAATAAATCATTTAATTTGTATATTCTAAAAAGCATGACATATGTGTTATTATAAGTATTAGTGTTTGATAGGTCGATCACTGCTTTATCCAAAGTTCGACTTTAGTATTTAAAGTCAGTAAAAGTATAAGCTAGAATTAAAGAAAATGTATATCTAACAATCAGTCTAGAAAACTAATAAATAATCATAACTTTTTTTGAAATAAATTTCACAAAGTAGCGTGATGTTCATAAAATCAACTGGATTTGAATGCACTTTAATAATCATAAAATACCCTTAAATTAATTGCCAAAAATGGCAAGATAAGATCTATTTTTCAGATCTAAGAAACTATTGTATGCATAGCCACAATAAATTAACTAGAAAAACTAATATATATAAGAATTTATCTTTATCTTACGATAAACCTGATAGATTAATGTAATGTTTTATAATATGAATTCCTAAGCGTACAGTATTCAATATTGTATTCTTTTACTTTTGTATTAATGTCAAAAAATAATACACTAATCCAAATGTACAGTTATCATGATCATTTAACTGGATTAAATCATCATTACAGATAAAAAACCACAGATAAAGATGTTAAACCGATTCATGAGATCAAGACTAAATGTTCAATCTAACCAGAATTTCAATAATTATATAATGTGGTTATCAAGACAGATTAAAAGCATAACTAAAAAAAAAATACATATACAATAATCATGCTGTCTAATAGAATTCAAGATTTCGAACACAGCAACTTGTTTGTAAACTATACACTTCATTTTACTACGTTCTTGGTAAAAATAATAAGTTATATAAATAAGGAATAGTTTTATAATTATTAAATAAAAAACAAGTTATATAAATAAAAAATACATACCCTCAAGTTTAAATTTTTTATGTGATTTTATCATTGCTTTTTTTTAAAAAAAGTTTTATTTTTAAAAAACAATATAGTTAAACATCGCTTAACAACTTATATTATCAGATTAAATAAAATGGCTAATACATGTAACAAGTTTGCAATTTGTAAAGTATGTAAAGAAGCTATTTTACAAGAATATACATATTCTAATAAATAGTTAATACAAAAAAATGTGTAAAAGCACATTTTATCAAAATGTACATATTTTTTACAAAATATGGTAATGAACAAGCAGAAAAAATTCTTAATAATTCAGATAGTGAAACTACTAAAAATAAAAAATAACAAAGTAAGTTATAATTTTATATATATTAAGATTTTACTAAAACGCACCTATAGTATTTTATACCTATTTATACATTATCTCAAAAACTGGCTAATTAATTAGTATGAGTAAAAATATTTTACATCTCCAAAAACCCTTTCTAAATCCTAATTTTAACCTTAATATTAATACTAAAATTTTATATACAAAATTTATAAAAACTTAAAAAATTTTAAAAAATATAATAAAAATATATAATAGATACAAAACTACTATAGATGCGTTTTATAATAATTGTATATTTATTAATCATAATATATTTATAAAAATATTTAGTTGAAACTGATGACTATCAAGAAAGTGATAGTGGTTTAGAAAATAATTCAAAAGTATTAATTAATAAACCAAAACCACTTAGCCGATATGTAACACATACTTTAACTTCTTCTCAACAAAGAAAGTGGTAGTATCTTTTGCTTAAAGCTACAATTTCAAATGGATGGAGCTTTCGTTGGGTTGAAAATAAAGATTCAAAAGAAATTTTTACTTATTTAAATCCTACATTAAATCTTCCAACTCGAAAATATCTAAGTAGAAAAATTTTAACAAATGCAAGTTTAGATATAATTTATTTAATAGAAAAAAAAGCTCAATTAGATACAATTGGTATAACTTTAACTATGGATAGATAGACAAATATAGTAAATCAAAATTTATTAGGTAGTGTATTAATAACATCAAAGGGAGAAGTACTTGTATGGAAAGTGCAAAATGTTAGTACAGAAAGAAGTAGAACTACAGAAATTATAAAAAAAATTGAAACTTTAACTAAAAGTGTACAAGATGCTAATATTAAAGTCTCAGCTGTAGTTACTGATAGTGCAGCTCAATATGCAAGTGCACGGTAAATAAAATTATATATATGTTATATATATTTAAATTTTTAATTTAATTATTAATTATATTTTATAATTAGACGTATACTTCAAACTACTCACCCTGAAATTATATACTTGCCATGCTTTGCGCATCAGGTTAATCTTTGTATGAGTGATATTTTTAAAGCTAATGAAAATTTTAATAAAGCAGCAAAGAATGCAAATAAAATTTCTACATACTTTACTTCAAAATCACATACATACTTTATTGGAAAACTCTGTGATGAACAAAAAAGTCAATATAATAAATATATTAACTTAATTCCTCCTAGTATTACTAGATGGAATAGTTATTATTATTGCTTTGGAAATATTTTAAATAATAAAGAAGCATTAAAAGTAAGATTTTTTTATTATTTTATTTAATAATACTTTTATTAAATTATTTACTAGCACTATTATTTTTAGACATACTGTCTAATTGCATATACTCTCTAAGTGCATAAAAAATTTTGGCTTTTAATTATTATACCAAAATAGTTCTTATGATTTAAGTGCATATACTGTCTATATGCATAAAAAATTCTTTAACGGGATAGCATGCAATTAGACAGTATCGACTATATATAAATAATTACTAATTAGCTTATATTTTTTATAATTTATATATTTTAGTATAAGAAAGTTTTATCTATGGCACAAATTAAAGGTGTACTTAATCAAGCACGTAGAAATCAAGAAATTGAAATGATAAAAAATATGTACTATTCATCTTCAGCAAAAATTAGTATTGAGCCAGAAGAATCTAATGAACCGGAAGAATTAAATGAACCAGAAGAATCTAATGAATCTGGTAATTCAGATTTAGAAGATTTTGAAAGCGAAGATATGACAAGTGGTGATAATTGGGACAATATTATGTCAATACTAAACCAGATGCTAAATTATGAATCAGAGGCTAATATCGAAGAAAATGATGATTTACAGGATGATGATAATATTTCTAATAATAGTGCTTCTTTTTCTGTAAATCGTATTCATCCTCAAAAAGATCCAAATGCTAAGTGGGATTTGGATACTTTATTTTGTATGGAGTTAGGGCCTCCAAATTATATAGAAAAACTTTGATTGAAATTTGTTTAAATTTATAAATTAGCATTCTGCCTGTGCTTCGGGCACAGGAATTTTTTTAATTTTTTTAAAAAATTGTTAATATAAAAAATTCCATTACGGAACTTGCTATTCTAAAACTATCATGACTCCTACTATGAACTAAAGTAATTTCTATCAAGAGTTTCTGTGAAATATGTATACATTATTGAACAGACGACAAAAAATAACAGTCAATTGTTTTTTTGTCGGAATTAATGTCACTCCATGTGCTGCTACGCAGAACAAACCTAGTATACCCCTAAAAAAAAGTTACGAACCTGAGTTTAAATTTAAAATGCAGGTTTAATTATGTAGTATAATGATGATGATTATTATTCTAATATTGTATTAATAATTAACTCTTGATTAGAGCTTGGATCCGGTCATCCG